CTCAACACCTAACACAAACAAAAGTCATATGGCAGGAGATTACCAATATTTCTTCGAAGAAGCAATTATTAGTTTGGGTTTCTTTGACTTGGCAGCACAACTCCTTACCCACCGTTGTTGTTGTTGTTGCTGTCATTAGGTGCTATTGAGTTGAGTGTGACTCAGAGTGACCCTATGAACAAATGATCTGAACATTCTGCTATACTGTGCCATCCTCACAGTCTCTGAAACAGTCAAACCCATTGCCATAGTCAATATGTTAACCCACATAGTTGAGAGTCTTCCCCTTTTTTGCTACCCTTCCATCTTCACAAGCACTTAGTAGGTAATGTTATACTGTAGAAGCTATGTCTCCAAAGTGCTAAAGAATGACAATGTCACTATAGAGACTAAGGTGCACCTGATCCACGCCATAGTCTTCCAAAGTACTTGCTATGCATCAGAGAGCTGGAAAATCACTAAGCATTATAGGAAAAGGATTAAAATGCCTTTCAGCTGTGGTGCTGGAGAAGAGTATTGAACATACCATGGACTCACAAGAAAACAAACAGGTTTGTTCTAGAGAGAGTAAAACCAAGTTGCTCCTTGGAAGCAAGGATTTTGAAGCTCTATCTTATATACTTTGGGCTTGTTGCTAGGAAGGGCCAGTTCTTAGAGAGGGATATCATCCTTGAACGGATAGAGGGACAGGGCAGGAGAGGAAGACCCTGGATGAGATAGACTGGCATAGTAACTGGGATTATGGGGGGTAGCTGTGGCAGAGACAGTGAGACTCCCTCAAGATAGGCCAGGGTTCAGAAGTGTTGTGACACATAGCAAGGATAACAATGCAATTATCCCTCCAAGATCTGATAAACCAAATAGTTGCAAGAGGTTAAAGGGTGGAATATAACACATCCTTGATCAGATTTGAGAGAGTTTACTTGGAATGTGACTGTCAGTGCCTTTTCTTTCACAAGACATCTCAACGGAAGAAAGTGAGACAAGAAGAGGCGACTTCAATACCACCAAGAAATAATCACCAAGCAGAGAGTGTGTCCTTTAAGACCTGGCCGCCTATGCTAGGAAATTCCTTGATACCAGGGAAGGCCAGGACACATGGCCTACAGATGCTGAACGAAACAAAGACTTTTCCTCCAAAGAAAAAGAGACAGCTCTAGGTCTTTCCTTACAGGCGGCATCCTAAATTTGGACTTCTAGCCTCCTTAACTATAAGAGAGTAAATTTCTCCTTGTTGAAACCCCCTACTTGTGGTGTCTCTGCTACAATAGCACTAGAAAATTAAGATAGATAGATGAGGAAAAGGAAAAGAATAGACTAGGTAAGAGAAAACCAAGGAAAGTTCTAACCAATAGCATCTTTCCCCCCCCCTATGAAATCAGAAAATCAAGATGCAGAGCCACAATATGAAGTAGAGAAGACAAGACGAATCATGGTGGGAAATAAGTGTATTTAAAATTTTTAAAAATTTAAAAAACTTGGAGACTTAAGAGAGGAAAATCCTCTTTTCCTTTTCTCCAATTGTTTTGAGATAAACCAACCTAATTTACAGGAAGGGATGGAGGAAAGCTGTTTTCTAGTTTTTGTGGTGTTCTTCTAGACAGGTCTTCATCTTCCCTTTAACTAAACATCACCTCCTGCAGGAAGTCCTGTGGTTTGGTTGGTGGTGGCTGTAGCTCTGGATGCCCAGTCTTATTTCTACAAGAGGACACATTACACTTAATTATGCAGGGTCACAACTGTCTGTGTGACTCCTCCACACAGAAACAGACTTCTCTTTTGCCATGCCACTCAACCAGCCTCCCCACCCTGCCTTGGCAGAGTGTACTCAGTAAAGGGAGACCCCTTTGACCAACCACACAATGGGGCTAAAATTGAGGAGGCACTGGGTGGTAAGGACAAGCTTCTCTGGGGAACTGAGTCAGAGGGTCAGGGAGCTTGCCATCTTGGGCAGGGAAGGAAGATAGGGGCACACAGGAACAGCAGAGTCAGAAGGCAGAAGATAGTGGAAAGTCCCAGAAGCTCCTTGCTAGCTCCAGCTGTCAAAAAGGGGGAGGAGAAAACCCTGTGGGACAAGGAGGAGGGAGAAGGCTGTTAGGAAGTTATTTAAGAGCCAACTTTCTTGTCATTTTTTCCCTGCGTTCTTTTGAGGAACTACGGAGAGGGAGACACACCGGCAGAGTCTGTCCCAGGGCCCCTCCTGAGGGGACCTTAGGTAAGCCCCTGCCTTGCTCCTGACTATCCCTGCAGGCACAACAGCCAGTGTCCTGCCTTGCCTGCAACTGTGTCCCTGTTGATATTTTCAGGTGTCGGGCAGGGTGTGAGGTAGCTCCGCTATCCCTTTTCAGCCCTCTACCCTCAACTCTTCACTTCCTTAGCCCCACAGCCCAGGGACTTCTGTCAGATCCTGTCTAAGGCAGTCCTGTAGGCACTGCTTCGGAATTGGTGAATTACAGGTGCTCCCCTCAACAGTCAGTCCTATTTCCATAGGGAAGACATCTTTGAATAGAAAATGAAGACATTGCAGAGGAAAGCACGCTTTAGGGTCGGAACGCTCTCAGGTGGCTTCACCCCTGTGCCTTGCCTGTCCTCATGGGGAGAAACTTCGACATCTTCCCTTCTTCTGGAGCCCCCTGAAAGGAGATGAGCTCCCCAACAGGCTGTTCCACCATTCTATGATGTTCTTCTGTACCCCTCTCTTTCTAATTCCCAGCTGAGAACTATTTTCTCTTGCTCTCTTGATCACGAGATCTTTCCCTTTATCTCCTTCCTCTCCCACTACTCACTGTGTATAATATGCATACAGATAATTATGGGTGCCTGTTTAGACCTTAAGGGGTCGTGGGGGTGAATCACACAATGTATCAAGCTGCAAATCAAAAGGTCAGTGGTTCCAACCCACCAGCCAACTATCAGGAGAATGGTGGAAAATCTCCTCTCTAAAGATATAATAGCTCAGAACCCTGACTGAGGGTCTCTACTCATCAGAATCAACTGGGAAGTGGTGAATTTGGGACTCTTCATATATTTGTTTGTGTGCTTGTTTATCTAAATCTTAAGAGATTTGGTGCTGCAATGGTTAAGATGCTTGCCTGCTAACAGAAAGGTCAACAGTTCTAAATACCAGCTAATCCATGGGAAAGATGTGGACAGTTTTTTCTGTAAAGAACTCTTGTCTCTTAATAAGACCAAATACCTTAGAAATGGTTCTTCTGTCCAGTCAGGCTGCCTTTTCAACCTATTTCTGGAACAGTTTATTCTAGTTACCTTTCCACAAACAACTCTTCATCTGTTGAGTGTGTGCCTGATTTTTTAAAACAGCTAATTAGCCAGGAATGATGACTGGGTCATCCAGGTGATCAAGGGGGGAAGCTTCAGTTGGGTCCTTAAACAAGGTCTCCATTCATTGGGCCAGCTGGTCAACAAATATTAGCTGGGCATAGAGAATGAGGTGTGTAGTGTTTGAACTGGCCCCGAGCCTGCACAAAGCCCCGAAGGAAGGGGAAGCAGTCCTAAGCAACAGCCATATTGACACCACTGACCAGGTCAGTCCAAAAACAGTCAATGCCCAGCCCCATCTTGTCCACCCCATTTAACATTGCAGTCTGCCTCCTTTTCACTTTCCAAACTGCATTTCCAATGCTCTGTTCCACTGTATTTTTCCTCTGTAGTTGTTGTTTTGTATTGTCAAGTAAGAACCAACAGATAGCTGACCCAGCTGGGAGGAAATTTCTCAATTGGGAGGAAATTGCCCATCTTTCTCCCATGGAGTGACTGGTGAATTTGAACCATGTGCCTTTGATTTGGTAGAGCAATTCCTCACCACTAACACATTACCTACATAATGACTGAAGTATTTCCAGGCTCCTGCTCTACCTACACTAGAATGTAAGCCCTGAGGGTGGAGATCCTGGGTGTTTGGTTCCCTGACGTAGGCCTACTGCTTGGCTCACAGCCACCCCACGTGTGTCAGAGGAGAACTCTAGGATGTTTTCAGTGGCTAATTTTTCAAAAGTAGATTTAGACTTTTCTTCCAAGGCTCAAACATCCAATCTTTAGGTTAGTCACTCTTTCACAAATTGCCCTCTATTTGGAACCAACTTATAGCTGTCTCTCCAATAGGTTTTCAGAATCAGTAAATTGCACTGTAGGACATCGTCCATCTTTCTTCCACGGAACAGCTGGTAGATTTGAACAGCTTGCCTTGGAATTGGCAGTACAGTTTCTTCCCTACTAAGCCACTGCAGTTCCCTTTCTGACTAGTTGTTGTTAGGTGCCATCAGGTTGACTTAGTGACCCTGCAAATAACAGATCTGAACCCTGTCTTATCCTGTAAAAACTTCACAATCTCTGACACACTCAAGTCCATTGCTGCAGTCACTGTGCCTGTTCATTCCCCCACCACCACCTCTCAAAGCATGATGCCCTTCTCCAAGGAGTTTTAGCTAGTAGCTGAGTATCAATCAGTGATACCAGTCAAAGCCCTCAATAACATGGACTGAATTAAATTGCACGTATGAATGCTTTTGACGACAGCGTTTGCTTGGACATGATTACAGGAGTTTATTCTTAAAGCCATTCTATATGCTTCAGGCACATGCACATGCCTATGGCAGTAAACATTTCTTAAAAGATGTGTTTAGGGAGATTGAGAAGAGTAGCAACAACAACAAAAAAACCTGCTCTCCAGAATTGTTTACATTTCCTTATTTCTTTGAATAAGCTCCCTTTCTTGTGCTTTACATATGTTTGGATGAACACCAAATCTCTCTGAGCTCTTTGGGGAACTATTCCATCATTAGACTAATCTTCATTGCCAGGTCTCAATTTTCATTTATGCAAAGTCTGAAATGTGTTGCTCCAGTTCTATCACAAACAGACATGTCTGTGTCTCTATTTTGGAATCCTTGTTTCAAATGTAATTTATTTCACATGTCCTTTTCTGCGTTTCCTCCTTTCCTCTTACCCCTTCCCTCAAGTTGTTTGTGAAGCTCGTCACCATGTCGGAAACATCTACTACTACCTTTGGAGGCAGGAGATCTGTCCCACTCAATAACTCTAATGCTGCAGAAGATGACCTCCCCACCTTGGAGCTTCATGGCCTCATGCCCCGAGGTGTCAACCTGCAAGGTATGTGGTACCATCTCATACAGGCTCATCTCAGGCCCTGGGCCCTGAGGTGAGCCTCTTTACCTCTACTAAATTCTAGAATATGTTCATTGTAGCTAAAAATGTCCCATTCCCTGAGTTAGAAAATTGGATTGTTATTCCATATTTATCATTTACTCACCCAGTGACTCAAGTAAGTCATGGAAGAAGATCTCTATGCCTTGGTTTTCCCATCAGCACAAAAGAAGCTATATCTACTTCACAGGTTATAATAAAGATCAAGTGAAAGACACATATCAGGCACATAGTACATGATCAACAAATGTTCATTGAATAGTATCATAATGTAGCATGATTGAGAGAACCATTCAGAGGAAGTTCTATTTCTTAGGGGAACATGGACAACCTGTAGACCTGTAAATATGAAGCACGAGCATAATGTTGTCAATAAGAACAAAAGGCTTCCAGAACTTGAGTAGAAAGGTCAATTAAAAAAAAAATTCTTGTCTATCTTTACTTGTTTTTGGAAGGAGGGGACATTAATTGAATTACTTGGGAAAAACATCAGTCATTATTAATTTGGCAGTCAAGGGTGACATCCTAGCATATTCATAAAAGGCCCTGGCACAGGCAGTGTGGGTGAGCAATGGTTATTTGTAAAATGAATGAATATAGTCAGTTCATCACTGGAGAATTGAATGATTCATCAGCCCTAGAGTCATTATAAGTTTATTATTAATGACAGAGTATAGATTTTGTAAACATGCCTTCATTCCATTTTTCTCACACAGATGAGCTAAGTGCTATGTGTTCTGGGGACTGGGCCTATAGCACCAGAAATAAAGCCTTGAGTCTCTAGTGATGTAATCTGTAGGGAGTTACACTGGTAACCTAAAGGATAGAACTCTTTTGACATTTCAGATTCACCACAGACTACAAGGGAGAAAGATGGGCACACTCCTCCTCTGTGGTTCATAGCCTCCTGGAACATCATTTATGAATAGATCCCAACTCCCTGGCAATGAGTTTGAGTTTTGACTGTGATAGAAAACAATGGAAGTGAGCATATGAACCACCTGAGCAGGGAAGCCCTTCTGCAAGTTCCTCTACAATTCAGATTTCCATATAATGATTCTAGAAGCATTTAGATATGCAGGCGTTCTGGCACTAAATTAAATTGATCATATTTTCCTCAAGTCATCCCTACTAGTGGAAGGAATCTTGCTCTGATTGTCATTATTGGTAATGTCATTAACTGCTGTCTTTGCCTCATGGTAAAAGAATAAAACATTGATCAGTCCTATGCCATCCCCAGGAGCCTCTGTGGACCAGACCAGTATATTTCATAGGGGTATCAATGGGTTTTCACATACAGATCTGCAGTCCTTTCTTCCTACTCCATCTTGGTCTGGGAATTCCACTGAAAACTGTTCAGCATTATAGCCACATGCAAACCTCCACTAACAGATGAGTACTCTCTGAGCCTGAGACTTATTGCTAAGAATAGAAACACAATATCCACAAAGGAATGGAAGAATTCTACCAATGATGCACGATTGCCAACAGGAAAGCATGTTATTGATGATGTTGTTATTAAGTTCTATCAAGTTGGGTCCAACTTATAGAGACTATATGGTACAGCAGGATGAACCACTGACCACTTATGGTCCATCCTCGTAATCACTGCTGAGCTTCAATCAATTATTGCAGCCATTGGATCAATCAATTTCATTGAGAATATTCCTCATTTTCTTTGACCCTTTATTTTACCAAGTATGATGTCTTTCTCCAGATACTTCCCTCTCCCAGGTCACTTTACATGCCCAAAGAACATAAGAATTAGCTCCTCTCTTCAAAGAAAATGTCTAGCTGTGACATCTTGCAATTGGTTCATTGACCACTAGAGACCTTCAAGAGTATTTTGTTTCCTCAACACCATTGGAACTAGAAGTCAGGAGATCAGATGATGTATTGAGTTGGGTAAATCCACTATCAGAGACCTCTCCAAAATACTGAAGAGCAACAATGTCAGTTTGAAGACTAAGGTGCACCTGATTCAGGCTATTGGTCTTCCCAATTACTTGCTATGCTGTAACTCACATGGACAATGAATAAGGGTCTCAGAAGAAGAAATGATGCCTTTGAATTGTGGTATTGGAAAAGAGTACTGAATACATGGGCTGCCCAAAGAATGAATTTGTCTTGGAAAAGGTTCAACCAGAGTGTTCCTTGAAAGGGAGGATAGTGAAGCTTCATCTCTCACATCTTGGACATGTTGCTGGGAGAGGTTTAAAAAGGGATATGAGGCTTGGAAAGGTGGAGGGTCAGCAAAAGAGAGGAAGACTCCCAAAGAGATGGATTGACATGGTGAATGCAGCAACAGGCCCAAGTGTATCGGAGATGATGAGGATGGCATAGGACTGGACAGGATTCAAGTTTGTTGTTCATGGGGTTATTCTGAGTCATACTTGACTCTATAGGACCTAACAACAACAACAACAATTAAAGGATAATGTAACATAATCTGAGTTTCTCTGCTAACTGAAAGACTGAGCTTCTCTGCCTTCTCGAATCACTAGTAGTTATAACCCACCAGTGACTCAATAGAAGAAACATGGGAAATCTCCTGTGACACACGGATTTATGCTTGACAGCTTTGGAAGCCCATTGGAGGATTGCTATGAGTGGGAATAAATGACACATCACTGGGTTTGAGTTTGAGTTGGTCTTTGAAGAACACAGAGCCCTAAATAAAATTATTTAATATGTAATGTTTCTTCCCCTCAATAATGAGTCTTTACTAAGCTCCTCTTGACTAATAAAAAGGTCAGAGAGGCAAGAACAGGAAAAGGATTTAGGTTATTCATTTTAAATCACCTGTTAGTAACACACACACACACACACACACACACACACATACACACACACACACGGGTCCTGTGGTGTCATAGTTAAAGTGATTGCTAACCCAAAGATTGATGCTTCAAACTCACTAGTCACCCCATGGAAGAAAGATGTAGAAGTCTGCTCCAGTAAAAAGTACAGCTTTGGAGACTCTACGGGGCTTCTATAAGTCAGAATTCATTCTATAGCAGTGGGTTTGGTTCGGGAATTTTTGAAATAACTCTGTGTGTACATGGACACTTATAAACAGTGTTTATATAACGTCCTTAATTTTTAGCTTTGGTGAATCAATTGCTTAAAATTTTGTTGTACTTCAAAATATATACACTGATGTGAGTTCTTTCTTATATAGCAATTTTTATTTTTTTATTACTCATTTTATAACTTGAATGAAGATTTTTCAAAGTGTATTGGTTTTTCATGCAATCATTCTTTGGTAATTATGATTGATTAATGTAATTAATTGGTTACAATATCTAATCAACCCAGTATTGTATATTGCCTTTCCTTTCACTCAACTTCTCAACAAGCTTTAAAATCATGGTTTTAAGATGACACAAAAACCTCAGAGTTTGGACTGGTCAGTCAATGGAGATACTTGACATTCTGCAATTTTAGCAATCCTTCATGTCCCCATTTGAACCCCGTTGTATTCAGGAAATGTACTGAGAGATTCTCCCAGATGGTTTGGATTTGCATTAGTTTCTAATAGACTATTCTGTATACTCAATTAGTGTTTCTGAAAAATCTCTATACAACCTTCTTGCTTTCAAAGGTTATGCTGAGCTAGAAACATAATGTTCTGGAAGATAGCTTATATTTTGAGGCTGGTCTGATTTGGTGTTATTAACAATATGTGATCATTTGAAGTAATGGCAATACTCCTCTGTTAAGTCTATTCAATGAATTCAAATTGGAAAGCATGCTCTATTTTTTTTTTACAAAATAAAATTCAAATTAAATATCGTAGTTTTCAGGTTACTAGTGTCTTGTACCTTCTGAGCATTCTTTTCTTCCTCCTTTCCTTATCAGAACTAAGTACATTAATTAACTAGTTAATTATCAAGCACCCTATTGTGCATTATTATTTCTCTGCATCTAAGGGAGCTGAAAGAATAAGTAAGTTAAACCCACTGCCAAAAAGTTGATTTTGATTGATGGCAACCTCCACTGGGTTTCCCAGAATATAAATCTTTCTATGAGAGGAGACTACCTCACTTTCTCCTGCAGAGTAGCTGGTGGATTGGAACCACCAGCCTTGTTTTTAGCAGCCTGATACATTAGTAACTACACAACCAGGGCTTCTTTTCACACACCAACCCCAAAATCCAAAGCAACTGCTGTCGAGTCCATTCCAACTCATAGCAAACCTCTATTGGTTTCCTGAAGCTGTGCATCTCTGTTGTTGTGATGGTTGTTGTTGCTGTTCTTAGGTGCTGTCGAGTACAACTCATAGCAACCCTGTGAACAAAAGATTTGAACCCTGTTCTATCCTGTGCTATGCTCACACTTCCTGACACACAAGAGCCCATTGTGGAAGTTACTGTGTCAATCCACCTGGTTGAAGGTCTTCCTCTCCTTCACCAACCCTCCACTCCTACTAGCATCATGTCCCTCTCCATGGAATAGGCCCTCCTAGCAACATGCTCAGAGTATATAAGGCAAAGCCTCATCATTCTTGCCTCCAATGAGCACTCTGGCTGCAACCTCTCCAAGACATATCTGTTTGTTCTCTTGGTCATCCATGGGATGTTCAGTGCCCTTCTCCAACACCACAGCTCAAAGTTAACAATACTTCTGTCATCTTTATTCATTGTCAAGCTCTCTGATGCATAGTAAGACATCAGAAAGACTATGGCCTGAATCAGACATGCATTTTTACAGGGAGATAGTGTTCAGCCATCTCCTGCAGAGGAACTGGTGGGTTCAAATGTGTTACCTTATGGTTAGCAGCACAATACATAACACCTTTTACTGGCAGAGCTCAGTTCTCCTTTAAGTCAGTTCAAGAAAAAATATTTCTTAACTGTCCACTATGGATCAGGAATTGTTCTAGGTTCTCTCTGGAAAGACAGATAAATAATCCAGTCCCTGGCTTCAAGGAAGTCTGTCTAGAT